GCTATCATATGCTATCGCCAGAAAGCCACTTCGAAAAGGAACTATGTGGTCATCTACTGACATAACTAGACGACAAAACATCCACCCCTCGCAATGAGTCATACTTGCTCTATGCGCTTGCTTGCTTTATGAACTTATGATTCTTTTACATTTGCAACTGCTCCAACTGTCATCACAATCAAATAGTGATCTGACTTGGGCAAACCAGGATTTTCACATTCCTAGTACATTAGGTTCTCAGAGTTAAACATCTTCCATCGCTTGCTCTTCAGCCTACGATGAACCGAGTTTCCTTGGTGGAATCCGTCAAAATTTTACCGTTGACATTTCTCCAAACTCTTGGCTCCACCTCACAAATAAACATAAATCTCGAGGTAGATTTTACTTATTGTTCACATCTGATTAGAAGTTAGAATCTTTTGTAATCCATAGGATACATATGGTTCGTTTCATAAACAAACATATTATCCTTATTCTTTTTACAAAACTTGACTAAATGTTATACCACGAACCAGTGCACCCATCTAGAATTACTTTGATATCTACTAACTATGCCAGCGACAATAATAGATATCAGACCTCATTACTGCATTACATACGCTAGTTTTCCTATTGTCGAGCAAAATAATTCCTTTGTGCCATGCATGCTAAGAATGATATTTATGATAGTATATAGACACGAGGCTTGGGATAATCGCAACATTTATTTTCTTGTGATCTTTGACCTTAAGAACATGTGTCGATTCTTCAGAATGCTTCACATATAATTGTTTGGATAACTATACCTCTGTGTCTGACAACATCTTCACATTGCTCCAGTGATCAGAATGTCGTCTACGCATAGTACAAAAAGAACACCACCACGCTTCTGTTGTGCTACACACAGTGCTCATTGGTGAATAATTAAATCCATGAATTGACTCATCAACCAAATGTACCAATCATTACTATAGTCCACAAATGGACGGTTTCAGTTTACGGACTAGATGCTCTCAGCTTTTTACAATGAACACTTTTGGGTGTTGCTCCGTGGATATTACCACAAGACTTTCGGTTAAGGATGATATCTTGACATCAAACTCGCCTAATCTCATAACTCATATGAGAGACAACAGTCTAGAATTCGTATAGCTAGACTCAAGCACGACTACTGGTGAAAATGTTAATTCATAATAAATCTCTTTATTTCTACGTCTACTATATCACAACAAGTCTTACTTTAAAGTCTACACGATTTTACTTATAGATTTCGCCAAAGGGCCTTTACGCCACTTGGTGGTCGTACAATATCCCAAATCTGATAAGAGCCCGAGTCCCTAGATCATATCAATATCGGGCCAAAGAAATTTGAGGAATTTGCACCCCTTACTTTTAGATATAATTTATATTACACTTGTACACCCATTATATATTTATTTATAAAATTACCAAACCAAATAAAAATATTACAATTATACCTAAAGGAAACTACTGCAATTAATTATGCAATTAATTGAGAATATGATATAGCCTTAACGATTCAATATCATCCCAATCCCAAAAAAAAATCTCCCATTATCTCTTTCCTTCCACCATATTACTTCCAGTCAATATATATGAAAATTTACCAAAACAAAAGGGAATTGGAATGCCTTCCAAAAACTGTAGGTCGTCAACCTCCAAGAGGACGGTACAACCAGATCTTCACGGAACAAAGAGAACGAAGGGAGGAGAGAAATCTCGTTGGGCCATATGATATGTAGCGAACAAAGCGACGATTTTTGAAGGTTGGCGGTGGAGATGGAGGATGCGCGAGAAAGGAACGGGGACGGCAGGCGCATGATTGGGAGTTTCTGGTGAGTAGAGCGGGGAAGACGGTACTGTTGGATCCGTGCTCTATCGTTTATTATCCGTCGTTGAGGTGAGAAATCGGGAGTCGTCGACGACTGTGAAGCACCCATTGATAAGGGAGAAAGTAGATGATGGTAGGTTGTTGCTTAAAAATTGGATCTTAAAAATATATTTCACTAGAGGGAGCAAATTATTATGTTATTACAAACTGATCGAATGGCGATTGAAAACTGGGATTAGGCAAAAAAAATTGTATTGCTAGTGGGAAATGGTGAGATCTAACGAAAAAAAAACCTATAGGGAGTATATGTTCAGTATATCCCCCCTATATATTAATCCAGAACGCGCTGAGCCTACGTGGCTGTTTTTGGTGCTTCGGAATCCTATGTGGCAAAATTACATGCTTCGTTATTAGGCATGAGTAAATTTTAATTTAATTCCAAACCAAAAATAATTAGGTTCGAATTACCATAAATATGTTGATTATTTATGGTCATGTTACATGTATCAATTGCATTTTAATATCATTCCTTATTATAACTATTGAATTGTATATGTATTTTAAAAGTTAATAATTTTTGCATTTTTTATCAGTTTTACATATGTAATATATCAAATTAATCTTCTTTTGATGAGCTTCGATTTAACATCCATATTGTAAGTATAAAAAAATTTATATTTATCTTTATAACAATAATAAATTATTTTTAATATTAATTAGAAAAATAAAATTATTTATCAACTAATATATTTATATTTCAAGTAGTTATATGATATAAGTTATAAAAACTAATATAATATAACACATGTAAGTCATAAGTAACACATATCATTCTAAAATATATAGTAATATGTTTTTTTGTAAGAAAATAAACTAAATTTAACATAGTTTTCTCATTATTTTTAAAATTTAAGAATAATTTTTTAACAAACACCCGTGTAATACACGGGTATTGTACTAGTTAAAAGTATATTAGAGGATTTTTTTAATTTGTTCAGTATGTTTTGTGTGTACAGAGAGTACATGTTCAGTATATTACAAGATTTTTTTATAGGAAATATAAGTAACATGTTATAATATGTTTATAAACTATATACGTACTTTTATGTATAAAAGTTAAAAAAAAAATGGAAAACATATTTTTTGATGAAACACATGATTTTCATTTCAACATACTAATATATACTACCATAAACCCAATATATACCACATGTCAGCTCTATTAAATAACTTGCGTGAATTAAGGGGATAAACATAAATTAAGAAGATAAGGGTTAAAAAGAATAGTAACTTTAGGCATTAATATAAATAAATAATGTCTTTTAGATAGAGACATAATTATTTCTACTTGTATAATAAAATTACAATTAATTTAAAATCATATAGCAGAAATTAAAATTTCCCAAGAAATTTCCCACCCAACGAAACATGATCACATTTACATTGTAGATGTGGGCTCATCCAAACCAACAAGGCCCGTCTACTCCTATAAATATAATCAATTCTCTCATAAACATTCTA